TCCCTCCTCTCCTCCTCCTCCTCTCTCTCTCTCTCTCTCTCTCCGCCTTTGGAGAGATGAAGGTGCTTATTGTCAGTAACTTCCGATCATCAGCAAATAAACCCCCCTTGTCTCCCCCCCCCTTGCTAAGGACCCAGCCCTGCGAGGAGGATAAAGCCTTTTCCTGGATTCAGCTCCCCCAGATAGAGGCGCAACAGCAGCAGCAGCAGCAGCAGAGCTAATATTTGCTTAAGGTTATGATGGCTGGCGTTTGCCCTCTGATCCCCTTCCTTCGGATGGATCCCTCGGTGCCTAGGAGGTTATTTCAGGGGGAGCATGGCAGGGTGTAGTTCGCAGGTCTCTTCCACCGCCGGAGAGGTTCCTCGAGAGGTCAGAGAAGGGGGGAAGGATGGATCTTTGCTCTCATGTGCACCCTGCGCAGCTAATAGTCAGTCTGCCGGGGGAACGCGCACACACAATGCTGGAGCAAAGGCTTCAGCCCTGATCTCTCTTCTCTTGCAGGCTCATGTTTCCTGCTCTCCCTGTCTCCTTCCCTCAGCATCACCACCTAGGGAGAGCATCGACCAGTGGTGTTTCCAATCAGTGCAGCAGAAAAAAAGCAATCTCTCCACTTGCTGGGCGATCAAGATAAATACAATTGACCCCCCTCCTTCTCTCCGCAGTTCAGAGAGGCGATGCGCCCGGGCAGGAGTCCCCGATCCGCAGGCGAGCAGGGGCAGTCCTGGTGTATTTTTAAGGGTTCATTCTAGATCGATGGGTGGGAACCAAACACACCTACCCCCAAAACAGTACCCGGCTAAGCAGACACGGGAAAGAAGCTCCTCGCTTATTATGCAGTAAGGGCAAATGCCGAGTCCCCTTCAGCTAGAAGAGCCCAGAGCTCTGCACAAAACTATCTGGTGGCGGCAGCTTAGCCGCTGGTCCTTCTCGATCCAGAGCCGTGAGATCAAAGCCGGAGGGCAGGTTCCTACAGCAAAGGGTAAGAAGCATCCTTTGAAAAACAAAACAGACAAGTCTCTTTTTTTTTGTAAGGGGGAGTGGGTATGCCAAAGCCAAAAAAACTCTCTCCGGATGCGTAGTGGGTGTCAAATAATACCAGACACACACGCACACACACACCGACCCACAAAAACAACAGCCTTCAGCTTTCTCCGACAGTTCAATCTTGCTTCCTACACAGGTTTGGAAACAATTTCAGTCCTCCCTGCGTCTCTGCCTTGCCCAGCTCCAGCAGCAGGCAGGGAAATCCGCAGCCCGATCAGGGCTGAATGTCTTGCCCCAAAATCAAGCAAGCAACTCCCCCACCCTGCACCCCTGGGCTGGCTTCTTGGTGAGAGCTAGGACGCCAAGCGGCTGCGCCTTGACTGTTCTCTTCGGATGGCCCATCAGCTCCGCGGATGCTTCCCTCGCCTCTGCCCCTTCTCTGTCCAGGAGCTTAGTGCTGACCACTAGCAAAGAGCCACCCGCCGTCCAGAGCGCTCCCCCGTGTGCTGCAAAGCGCGCGGCTCCTCAAGGCTCAGGAAAACAGCAGCAGACACGTGTCCGCCTGAAACAATCCAGCACGTTGCTTTGTTGCCATCCCTAGACAAGCCAGCCAAGTTAGCCAAACCTCACATGCGCCCACTGTGTCCAGGGCGGCTGCTTCGCTTCTGGGGGGGTGAAAGGAATGACAGAAGTTGTTTCACTGGTGCTCAGAAAACAACACACCCGAGAATAGGCAAAGAGACTGGTGAAGCCATGGAATGGGAGGAGAATGAAATTCTCTCTCTCTCTCTCTCTCACACACACACACACACGGGAAACCCTCAGAACCCAGACTCATGTCCTTTGTTGGTGGTATCAAGATGCTGCTGAAGAACAGCTTCTAGGCCCCCCTCTCCCTTGCTTCATGCCAGATTTTGTTACTGTGTACGTGGGCACAAAACATCCTCCTCTGGTCGTTGCCCAGGCCCTGCCTTCGGGCGTGTGTACGCGCTCGAGGGGAAATGAGAAGTGACTCCGATTCAATCAGTGCAAGGCGGCGTGTAAGGGCAGTGTGTGTCGGGGGGGGGGCGCTGTGTGGTTAGATAATGTCACTGCGCATCTGGGGCAGGGGGAGGCGAGTGGATCGGTGTCTGTCTGTCTGCTATCCAGGATGAAAGTGTCAGACCCACTCACCTGCGAGATGTGCTGCAGCAGGAATTCCCACTCGCTGGCCAACTTCACCAGACGGGCGGTTCACGCTTCAATTCACCTGTCAAACCACCCGAGGGCGGAGAACCCTGAGACCCTGACAAACATTCTCCCTGGATGATCAGGAGCAGCCATCCCTTTGGAAAGCAGCAGCTGTCTCCTGTTTTAACGCCCGTGAACCCTTAATGAAACAACTCGGATCATCCTGAGCCGGATGGTAAATGCACACTGAAATACACGGCTAAGCCACAGACGCATGGAGAAATGCAGGCGCAGAGATGCTTTCAGCCCTGAAATTGCTGACACCCTTCAGATCTATGGAGCTGGGGGCAGCATTTTGCCAGGTTATTATTTATTATGATCTTCCACGTTGGGATATTTACAGCAGAATCGGGTTGTTTGGGTTTACACAGTGCAAGTCAAGGAATTTCCCCATATCCCAGCTGTTTTCCACCTCTGCCAGTTTTAGTTTCAAAACGCTTCGCTTGCCATCTAGTGGAAGAACCTTGCATGTGCAAGCATCACCTGCAGCAGCCTAAAACCCTACTCCCAGCCTATCATCATGCTGGACGCCAGTCAAAGAACTACTTATTCCTTAGGAGATTAAGGTGGAGCGAGCTGTAAAGTTATAGTTCTACTACCTAGGCCCATGCAGCTGTTGTTTTACCTGTGTCCTTTGCTGTGTTAAAGAGCACTGCGAGCCTCTCTAAGCCACCAGAACCCAGGTATTAGGTCATGCATTAAAGGCCTAATGAGGAAGATTCAAAGGACTACTCATGCCAACAACAGGGTGTAGATGCTTTCCAACCATCTCATCTAAATACTCAGACTGCACAGCAGGGACCCAAGTCAGTCTGCTTCAACTCATGTTAAAAATCATTTTTTTTAAATAATAAATGACAACATTCATGCATGTAAATGCATTGAGTACAGTGAGTATTTCTCCTTCTTTGGAAATTCATTTATAGTAGACAAAATGCCTGGAACTATTCTAATTCTCAAAAGAGAACATAATGTCAGTTAACACAATATTAATTGAGAACCTAAGGAAGCTCATAACTTTAAGGTTTTTTAATTCTCCACTCAAATACCAGTGTATTTCAGGCCTTCTCACAGCCACATTTAAATGACACAGTGCTCTCCCTCTCTCCATATTTTTAGCAACAAATCCTTATTCTTTGCAATTATCCTTATTCTTTGCAATTTTCACTCCATAAACTCCAGTCCTGTAGACACCTGTGTGCATAACTTTGTTCACATGAATAATCCTACTGACTTTAATGGGTCTACTCCTGTGAATAAAGTTATGCACATGTTTAAATGTTTGCAGGATCAGGGCATAATGATCACGATGGACTGCTCTGAAACTCACATAGCATCCCTGCAGCTGCTCCTTGTTTACAGGGACCAGCTAGTGAAAGATCATCAGAGCTGTTCTGTTGAGATTTGAAAGTCCATTGTTTATCATGGTTTAAATCCCTAAATTTAAATCCCTTAAATCCAATGGGAGAGACTGCACTAAAATTCATGGATTAATTACAGTGATGGGGAGACTAATTTTAAAATCTCTATTTAGAGGTAAAAATATTAAACTTCTACCTAGTCTTACTTCATGCCTACTTTATTTAGTCTAGAACAGAGTGTTTGGTAGGGTGCTGTTGGAAGGAGAAAACTGACTTTTCCTTCTAGCTGTAGTTGGACATTGCTCAGTCACATTCCTGGAAGATGAGTAACTCCAAATGGAAAAATATAGGCTTTTCCATGCACATCAGGCCAGCGGTCCAGTAAGTCTGGGATCTTGCTCCTGGCAGTGGTCAGTATCTGATGCTTAAGAATAACATCCTGCATAATAAATATAACCAATTACACAACGCCATCTGGATGTTGGGAGTGGGCGGTGGAAAGTAGGGGTACGTTTATACTTACCTCCGGGTTCGGCAGTAAGCAATCGATCTTCTGGGATCGATTTATCACGTCTTGTCTAGACACGATAAATCGATCCTGGAAGTGCTCGCCGTCGACACCGGTACTCCTGCTCCACAAGAGGAGTATGAGGAGTCGACGGGGGAGCCTGCCTGCCGCATGTGGACCTGCGGTAAGTACCTTGTAGTTCGAACTAAGAGACTTCGACTTCAACTACGTTATTCACGTAGCTGAAGTTGCATATCTTAGTTCGAACTGGGGGGTTAGTGTGGACCAGCCCTAGTTCCTGCTTAACAACTGCCGTCACTCACTTTAGGCGCCCTGAAGCATCTGATTTGACTACCCGGTCTCAGTTTTCATGACCAGCAATGTCAGCAAAGGTCAAAAAATTATCCCGGCCTTCTAAAATCCAGCCACAATATTTACTTGGGGCCTGATTCAGCTCCCATTGGCATCAACAGTAACACTCTGCTCAATGTTGGAGGGCCCTCAATGACCTCTTGCAGCAGTGAAAATTCCACTGGATGTCTGCAAACTGCATGAAAAATAGTTACATTCATGTATCTATTTTTCAAGCTTCCTAGTTATCAATTTCATTGAGTGACCCCCTTTATTCTCACGTTATGGGACAAGGTAAAAAGGAAGGATTTAGGCATTGTCATCATGCCTTTTAGA